CAGTCACCCCAAAAGGAGCCTTAGTGATGAGAGCAGTAGGGGGATGTCCTAAGAAGTCCATGATTCATAGGGACTATTCTTCAGAACAGACCACTGGGCTTTACTGGTGTGAGTTCTCTCTAGATATGAAAACAGCTAAACTCCGGAAGCAAGAACTGTAAGGTATCTTGCTTTTCTTTTTTACTATACTTTCCCCAGTTTATTTTATAGATTGAGCAGTCCAGGCAAAGAGAAGATAGTATAAGCATATTGTGGCTGGGGATTTACTTTTTTTTTTTTTTACAAGGGTGGTCAGCTGTTTGGGGTAGAATCTGAGTTGGCTTCCATTAACCTATGTTGAGGGCTGAGAGATAAGTTGGGCTCTCTCTACATAACAGGGAAGTAGTTGGGAAGGAATTTATCGGAACATGCACTGATGAGCACTAGTTTCTTAATGTGGAAACAAGTTCAATACTGTCTTCAAAACATGTATTTTAAATTTTTTGGTCCTACTGAAGGGAATTGACAAAAATAGCTTTATAACTAGGCCAGCAATTGGCCATATTTAGACAAATTTAAATTCTGCCCTATTCCTAACACTTTGTCATTGTGCAGATAAGGAATGCAGAGAGGAAATTGTTATTTTTAAGTCATAGTAGTTAGTTTTGTTGTCTGGTTCATGGAAGCTGTAATAACAGCTGCAGGCTCTGGAGACAGAACACGCGGGTTCCAATCCTTACTCATTCAGATCTTACCTGTGAGCTCTTCCCCACCAAGTTCTCCGGAATCTCTAATCGTCACCTGTACACTAGAAATAATAACGGTACCAACCTCATAGGGGTATTGGAAGAATTAATTGAGATAAACCAAAAAAAGTGTTTAGCTCAACACAAGCACTCATAATAGAATCTGGTAATTACAGGATAGTAGCAAGATACCAGGCAGTAAAATATTATAAATGCTTTCCTTAAAATAAAGGGGTTTCTGTTGCAGAGATAGGACTTGAAGTAGTAATTTTCAAACATGATCATATGCCAGGGACCTGGGCAGGATGGGTTAAAGCACAGATAGCTGACCCCCCAGTCCCAGTCCCGCAAGGTCTAGGCTGAGGCCACAGTATTTGCAGAGTTCCCAGAGGGATATGATGCTGCAGATCCCGGGACCACACTCTGAAGACCACAGACTTGAAATATGTGTTTAAATTGTGCTCCAAAGACATCGCTGATAGATATAGAAATAACAGTAATATTTGTTTAGAATGTATAAATTCATATCTTTCATGAAGCAAAAGGCCTCTAATAAATGTAATCTTAAAAGCTGTGATTTGTCTTTATGTGGAGGGACAGGGAAAGTATAGGTCATTGCCCAGATATAAAAAGGCAATGCACCTGTAACTGACTAGTCTGAGGTCGCACCTCAAGTCCAAAGGAGCTATAGGTTTAAGAGGGGGAATCCTGGAGCTATACCTAGCACTCGCTCCCCCAGACAGTCTATCTCCCCCATTTCCATAAAGCCGTCTGTTTGTAGGCTGATCTTACAGGCCACTGGGCCCTAACGTTGTTCCACAGACTTCCCTTAAACATACACACATGCACAAATAGTCTTTAATTACTCTGAAAACCTTCATAAAATACATTTAAAGATGACAAATTTCCTTTTCTCAACTCTCCCAACAGTAGCAAGATACCTCAAATTGGTGTTTCAGGAAAATATGTGCATGTTAAAATGCATACTGGCTAGCTGTATTTCTTTTGTGCAAAAAATCCATTATTTGCATTGAGAATGATGACAGATGGGCACAGTGCTAGCTTCAGGATGCAAATGAGCTTGTGTCTGCGTGAGCCTGTCACATGACACATAGACATTTACATGCTCTTATTACACACACTAGAGGCCCGGTGCACAAAATTTGTGCACGGTAGGGTCCCTAGGCCTGGCCGGTGATCAGGGCCGATCTGCGGGGCAACTGGCAGGGCGATCAGGGGCCCCCGCCTTGGCTGGCCTGGGGCCTGTGGACTGGGGGCAGCTCCTGCATTGAGCGTCTGCCCCCTGGTGGTCAGTACACATCATAGTGACCGGTCGTTCCAGTGGTCATTTCGCCATTTGGTCGATTTGCATATTAGGCTTTTATTATATAGGATATATAACTTCTGCCACAGACTTCCATGCGTAACTTTTATGAAGTGTATACAATAATAACAACTCATCTCTGCTGTCTTTTATATTTTTCTAGTGTTCTCCAAAAGCAATGCACACTGTGCATTTTGCTCTTTCATAGCATATCATCTTATTATCTTGAGATTCAACGTTTTAACAATATCACCTTTAAGTATGAGCCCATTAAATGTCACCTGACATCAAAGAAGATAGGCAATAGCATGAACTGTCTCATTTCCGTTGACTTTTGTCCATGTCTTCAGGGGGTGTGTGAGTTTTACTGAGATATTTTACACTTCAGATGCTTTCCCTCTCCGTTCTTGGATAGCCACACCTGGGCCTGGGATTTGGGAGAAGGTTCTACACAACTCTCACCCTCATTCTCATGATTTTCTGTTTGTTCCATTCTACCATCTGATCTAGAGTCGCCTGGCACTGCCAGCCTTCCGCTTAGAGTTCAGAACTCTTGGCGACGTTCCCAGTTTTTCTCCCAGTCAGGTAAAATGCATACTGGCTAGCTGTATTTCTTTTGTGCAAAAAAATCCATGTTGTGGGCAACCAATAATGTCTGGTATTTTTCTTCATTTCTGACCTCAGGGGGAAAAATGCTTGTTTCTGGCACACAGTTAGCAAAGAGCTAGTTCTTTGATGTCAGTACCAGTTATACTGAAATTGGGGGGAAATTCACAGAATTTTACTTTGATTTTGAAAATCTAAAGAAATAATAATATTTACCTCTTTATTATATTTTTCTTAAAAAAACAACAACAAAGATTAGAAGCATTTACCAGGAACATGGTTCTCTTGTTAACTGTGTCACTCTCTTTATTTCCTGGTGACATTTGGCCTCTCTCTGTATGAAACTTCTCCATGTCAGACAAGGAGGGAACTGTCAATCAAGCCAGAATGCAAGGTGTATTAAAACCAGCACTAGTAGGAATAGATTTTGCTTCCTAGTGCTTAGTACTGGGTGCTAATTGATGTCATCAGCCTTCTTACACTGGTCCTGACTACTTTTGGTGACGGGTACCAACTGCTTCAGGGGTCTGCTTTATTCTGATCTTCTCATCCTCTTGGCTTACAAAAAAAATTGGTTTGAAGCTGACATAGGAGCCACACTCCACTGAGAGGATCAATGAGAAATACAGTATGAAGCTACTCACACTGTGTTCTTTTTCTTTCTGTCCAGGGGATTCTCCCAGCAGTGAAAAGTCACCTGCAACTACACCTGTAAGTAACTCATGTTAAGGAATGAGCTCATGCATTTAGTGTGATTTTAATTACAGAGTATTTGATTCACTTACAGAAGATCCCATTACAAAAATGGGCTTCAAATGATTGTAAAAGAATAGGTGAAAGCCATGCATATGCTGCCAGGTGAATTAGGAAGATGTGGGTTATCATTATGCAGAGCTGTGATCTGGAAACAAAAGGGTAAGTGAGTCAGGGAAGTAAAATCTAAAAGAAGCAATTAAAATGCATGTGACAGTAGGAATTAGTATTAAAATATGCACTTTCTGTAAGCATTCGAAATCTTTTTTTTATGAGAACAATCATTCAACATAGTTAAGTTGGCAGTAGGGCCCAGCCTGGACTCTTTCTGCAGGACCCAAGCTGTCTTTGTTGCACCCCTTGTCGCAGTCAGTACCTTGAGTAATAGTAACCACACATTTAGTTTTCAATTTTTTATTTCAGTGACATAAAATAAGCATTTGCTAGTTAAGGTGTCCAGACATGTGCCACTGTCAAAGGCCATGCTGCTCGATTTTATCTGAACACTTTCTGTGGACCTGGCTCTTCTCTAAACTGGGTGTTTCCAGGGCTGAGCCTGTCACCCTTGCTCACCCTTGAAATTACCGCCCGATTTGTAGGATTCAGTTCCTCTGTGGCTCAATCAACCAGCACAGAGCCCTTTGGGAGCAGCCGCAGAATCACCGTTGTGCCTTTGAATCTTCTCTGAACGTTATCTTCCTTGACTGTACCCCAGACTCTTCCCTTTCTCCCCAAATTACCCCGTCAGGGAGAAGGAAGGAAGTACAGTTATTGGGGAACCTGGTTTGCCTCAGCACCTGCTCTGGGCGATGGGGGAGCCAACTTTCAACACTGCAGCCCCCCTTTTGCTGATTCCCCAGGGACCAGCTAGGATTTCTCCCCCACACCCCCGCCCTCCCGGACCCTCTCAATCTTATACCCTGTGGCCTGGGTGTCCGCTTTGACTCATGCATTTTTCTCCCATTATTTCTGTTCACTGACTTGGTTCCCAAACTCACAAAAAACTTTCTTAAAAGACAAAAAAAAGAGTCTGACTGTTTGCTATGTGGGTTCCACAGCAGGGGCTCCCCACTGCCTGATCTCAGGGGACACTGGTGGGCAGTGGTGAGTGGTTAGAGAAGGCCAGTGTGGGCAGCAGCAGCGGCCTAAGAAATGATGCAGTTCCGCAGCGCGGCAAGCATCACTTCTCACAAAACGCAGCTCTGCTGACATAAGCGGTCCCATTTGCCCGGACCCGGGATCAATATGCAGAATGAGTATCTTACGCTCCCGAGCGTGAATACATTTAAGAAATCGCTTCTAAAAGAAATGAAGCAAAAGCCTGCCCATGCCAGGGGCTAATTACTTCGTGTTTTCATTAGCTCCCAAAAGGTTCACAGAATCCTATCAGCCTCTTGGAAGGGAACCAAAGAGGGACTAAGATTAAATAGCGGTGCTGCCAACAAAGAGGACCTTTAGATAAACGAAGGCTCTGCTGTGTGTGTCCATCGGGTGCCGCCCATAGGCTACTCGTGTCCCTCGCCCTGGCCAGGCCTTGAGGACGTGGCTCAATTCTGATCATGTTTTTATTTTCTAAGCAGTTCAAGTTCTGGGCATGGGACCCGGAAGAGGAGCGCAGGCGACAGGAAAAATGGCAGCAGGAGCAGGAACGACAGCTCCAGGTAAGAACTGCGTTCACTGCCTTTTTTTTTTTTTTTTTTTTTTTTGATGCTCTCTTAATTTCTGTCGTATTAAATAGACTTTTAGCACAGGAAAAACATGGAATTGAATTCTTCTCAGCAATCAGTGAGGCTGTTAGTTCATTTTGCAGATATAATGCCCTGTATCTAATTCCTCATACCAGAGGTTATATGGATGAACACAAGGAAAAAGCATTTCACTTAAAAAAATTTTTTTTAACTTCCAAGTATTGATTAATGGCCAACTCAGGCAGTCCTCACCTCCTTTGTTGTCAATAAAATTCCAGTTCCAGTAGCAGTGGAAATGAATTGTCAACAGCTTTTTTGTTGTTGTTAATCCTCACCCGAGGACATTTTTCCATTGATTTTTAGAGAGAGTGGAAGGGAGGGGGGAGACAGAGAGGGAGAAACATCCATGTGAGAGAGACACACGGATTGGTTGCCTCCCGCATGTGCCCCAACCAGGGCCTGCAATCGAGGTGCGTGCCTTGATCAGAATGGAGCTGGGGCCCTTCAGTCCACAGACCGATGCTCTATCCACTGAGCCAAACCTGCTAGGGCTATTAAAAGCACTTCGAAAGCATCCATGTGAAATCAAATTTAGCCTGGCTCTTGTTTCTTAAGTAGAAATATTTGCTCCATCTTTGAGTAAAAACTTTCATTTCTAGAAAAATTCTGGAAGTAAATGGCTCATGTGCCTACTTGTTTTATGCCATGTTTGTTGGGTAACAGGGCTTCAAAAAGGAACCTAGTAACCTTAGGAAGTAGCCTCTGCTGAGTCCTTGAGTTGTGCCAGGAACTGTGGTTGGTGTTTGACGTCTTTTATCTAATTTAATTCTCATAAAACTCTTCAGAGTATATCTCATTAGCCCCCATTTGCAATTGAAGAAACTAAGACTCAAAGAAGTTTAATTAATAGCTCAAGGTCACCCAACTAACAAGGGTTGAACTTGGTTTCAAATCCAAGTTTGATGACTTTAAAACTCATGTTCTTTCCATGATACCCCCAGTAGTACTGATTTTACCCCCAAAAAAATCATAAATAAAAAGCATTTTAAATCTCATTCATTTTCATGGCTTTCTGCTGCTGTGTAGAAAGCAATGCTCCATGCAAGTTTATTTTACTTTTTTAAAAAATATTTTTGTTCTAATCCCTTTGGCTTACTTCCTAAGGGGCAGGAGCAGATCCGTTTAGATAGCCAGCTATTTGTAGTGTGGCTTTAGGTCTGCCAGTTAAATTTTACACTTTTCAAAACTGCGTGGAGGTAAATCTTCACTATCAAAATGTTAGTAAGAACTGGAGTCAGCAAAGTCACACTGGGACTTCTGGGGCCTTTGGAAGAGAGAGGCCAGGCCAGCCCCAGCCATCTGCTGTTCTCTCGGAAATCAGGAGCCCATTTTCCAGCTGAGAGATGCACAGCCCAGAGTCAGGGAATCCACAGAGCACAGACGGCAGGCAAGTGCGCGGGCCAAGCGGCACCCTGTCTGTTACCCTCTGGAAGGTAACCGTGGAAGGGGAGGACCAAGGTGACAGATGCAGGCGTATGTCTCCTTCCTGCCCCACCGAATTGTTACCCAGTGTGGTGGCATGGTGGGCTGTGGGCTTTGGGGAAAGGTGTTTGTGGGGAAATGGGGTGGGGGTGGGGCAGACGTATGTCTTTCACGCCCGCATTACAGGTATCAGTGCATCCTCTTGGGGAGGGGAGCTCGTGATGTGAGCTTCTAGAACCAATGAACCTAAAATGCTTCACTTGCTTTTCAGCTTTTGTGAAGTTTTGAGGTCTGTTTTCTCTATTTGAAAAGCCCCTGAAGTTCCTCTCTAAAACTTTACAATGTTAGGTTTTACAGTGGTAGGTGTTTGTAACAAAACCTTTATCTGGAAAGAAAAGCCCGCCAGGGGTTGGCCAACCATGGCTTTGCCAGAGCATTCACAGGAACACCAGGCTCTTGCAATCCCAATACAGCCCTTCCGCTCCTAAGATAACGGCACAACAGGTAAGGTCTGGAGGAGATCCCAGCGCCTCCCCAGGAGGATAGGAGCCCAGACTTGTTTGAGCCTCAGAGAGAGGTTTGGCAATAATTAGCCTAAAGTATTTGACTCTTATGTCATACACTTGGCTGATTCCTTTGTCTCCGTCAAGTCAGAGATGCCATCCCCAAGCATCCAGGGGTATCAGTTCTCATTTTAGGCATTAATTTTCATCGCCATTTATTCATTTCTTCCAGTCAGTGGTCAGGAACTCTGGTCACATTTTCAAAGCTGTTCTTATTCACAGTATTTGATTCTTTTCCCCCAAAAGTGGTGACTAGTGTTGTATTATTTCTGGAAACAAGAAATGGCAGTTCTGATACTGAAGCCTTCTAGTGGGTTGTTTAAAAGCTACTCTTAATTCAGAAGTCACTTAAAGCTAGGGACATTGCATTTGGGTACAATGGCTTCAAGCAAAGGGTAATTTGACTACTCAGCTAATTACCATCTTGTCCACTTTGGACCTTTCTGCAGGATTCGTTTTTTTACCCTTTATTAAACTCTCCCAGCAGCAAACATATTTCTCTTAGCAGAATGGCAAAACTAGTGGTTTAGCTAACCTCCTAGGACAAAACTCAAGTGAAGAAAGAGTTTAGAGTCTTTCAATCTTTTCATCTTTTCTCTTTTCGTAAGGAAATGCCTACTCATATCTGAAAAACAGTTCTACAAAACAACAGCAGAAAATACACAGTGGGGCCCTAACTGGTTTGGCTCAGTAGATAGAGCGCAGGCCTGCGGACTCAAGGGTCCCAGGTTCGATTCCGGTCAAGGGCATGTACCTTGGTTGCGGGCACATACCCAGTAGTGGGTGTGTAGGAGGCAGATGATCGATGTTTCTAACTCTCTATCCCTCTCCCTTCCTCTCTGTAAAAAATCAATAAAATATATATTTTTTAAAAATACACAATGGGGGAAAAGTAGATTTACAGTTGTGATAACACGAAACAGTTTTAAACTTGCATTATTATTTATTAATTACTGCATTATTTCCCATACGGACAACTGTAAGCCTACTTTTGCCCCCACCCTGTTCTCCCTGGGGTTTTTAGGTTCCTAACCAGTTTGCGTACCACACAATGCTCTTCCCCTTGTGTTACATGATCGGGTTAGATTCAGAATGTTACAAGAAGATGGTCTCTCAACATGGTGGCTTTGAGGGGGGAATGTCCCAGTGATGCGTGCAATGGTCGGTTCAGAACAGTCTCTGGAAATTCTGTAACAGGAGAGATACCAGAAAGAGCAGGACAAGCTGAAAGAAGAGTGGGAAAAGGCCCAAAAGGAGGTGGAAGAGGAAGAACGCAGATACTATGAGGAGGTAGGAAATTCCCGAGAAGGAATTGGACCTTGTGGTCCTCGTTCCTCAGAGGCTATCAAGGCTCTTTGTGTCTGTGGTATGTGTGTACGTGTGGCTGTGGCTGATGATCTTCACCCATAGCAGAGCCCATCAACCTCTTTAAAAGAGTCGTATCCTGGAGGCACTAAAAGAGCAAAATTCCACCAAATTCAGTTTGTGATCGGGTGTGCTGAGTCATGGTCAAGGGTGACAATATAATTATATCTGATCTCAAGTCAGAGAGTCAGATTTTTGATTGATCTTAGAGAGAGGACATTAAAATATCAATGTCTCTGTTAGTGTGTTTGTTTGAGCAAACATGTTTGGTGGTGAATTAATTTTATGAGGATAATTTTGATAATCAAGGCCAAATGAGTCTTACCACTGCACTCACTCTATGGTACTGAAGAGATTTAGTAAAGAGATTTGGTACAGTAGGCTGAGTGCAGTGCTAAGGAATGGTGGGGAGGGATATTTGGTTTTGTAGGTTTCATATTTTTTAGATGAACAAACCAGACCACGTTAGATAATTTAAAGGGAGCTACATTTTATCTATATTATCTAAAATTTGCTTATGATTAATAACATTGTGAATTTTATCTTCAATAATAATTTTTGTACATAATCCAATCCCCACAGCATTTCTAATAAGGCTTCTTGCATCTCACTAACTAATTAATTTGTGAAGACTTTGTTTTCCTATTAAATCAAATGCTAATTTCTAAATCATTGCCCGTAGAGAGTATTATCTGATTTATGTGCTTTTAGAAAATAAGACCTTTTTTTAATGCCCTGCTTGTGTGCATATAATTCTGATGTCTTTTTTCTAAAGTTCCTTAATGAAATTTTTCTCTTGACAAATATGATACTTGATTTTTCCCCCCTTCATTACTTCCCGTTCTTCCTCTTAGGAGCGCAAAATAATTGAAGACACTGTGGTTCCATTTACTATTTCTTCAAGTTCCGCAGACCAGCTGTCGACATCCTCCTCTGTGACTGAAGGCAGTGGAACAGTGGTGAGACTATAAATTAAAAGCAGTTTGCGAAATAAACCTAAAAGAAGCACAAAACCAAACAGCCAAGTTTTCCATGAGTTTAAATCCAGGACTGGCTATTTCCCTAGGTTCGTGTCAGCTACTACATGGCCGTCATACACCACGGTGTGTCATTCCATGGCCAAATCCTAGAGCCATTGCCCAAGGGGCAGTATAGTCATTGCTGAGGCCAGATCTGCCCCACAGGCTGGCTACCAAGGTCTCTCTGCACTGGCTGGTTAGGTCCTAATTCAAGGGCCTTGTGCTGGGAAAACTTCTTCCTGCCCATCATTTATTCATTCAATAGGCACACATTCCTCTCTGCCATAGCACACGTGCCTTTGCACTGGTGGCAGCAGCAGGATGGCAACAGCAGGCTCTCCACCAGCCTCCATCAAAGTTGCCTCTAACCCACTCTTAAAATTCCACATGAAATTTACATGTGTCTTCAAGGGCTGGAGAGAGCCCTGAACAGCTGGTCTACCTCCACATCCCCCAAACAAGGTCATGGAGGTAGTGGACAGAAGTCATACCAAACCCTGGATAGTCTATAATCTGCATTAAAGAAAATAATGGTGGGCACTAGAAAGCCATTTGTCCTGAAATTAGCAGTTCTAAACTACTCCCCTCTATGATAACTTCTGAAAAAGATCCAGATTGCACGTTTATTTTAAATCGTTATAGCTCAGTTACTATTCAATTAATTTGAACAACTGTTCCTTAACTTGCAGGCAATGTGATTGGGGGTGGGGAGGAAGCTTCAGCTATTTCATAGCCAGAGATGAGTGTTGTCCAGTGGGTTTAATTTATATTTAAGATTATCCTTGTTTTCCCTCTTAGAATAAGATGGATCTGGAAAACTGTCATGAAGAAGAACAAGAGACAAGACAGAAGAAACCATTCCAGGGGGGCAACAATGGCTTGTTGCCTGAGACTAGAGAAAGTGGTCCCCTGGAGGAAAAGGGCAGGTATGCCCCACGGTTCAGGCTGTCGGTCTAAATGCGCAAAACCGGGCTCTGCCTGTTCTCTCCCAGGAAGAGTGCTCATTGCTGATGCAAATCATATTCGCCTTTGAAATGATCATTCCAGTAATACATTACATATTGCTTGAACACATTCTAATGACTCTGAAGTCAGTGTCCTTATCCAATTGAATATAAATACCCTGATTTTTAAATAGGCGACGCCTTTTTCAAATGAGAGGAGACAGTGTAGATCAGAGAAGGGGCATGTGGTCCATTCAAAGCCCTAAACCTAAGCATTGCTCACCTGAAATAGTTCATGTGTCTGGAGGGATAGAGGTTGAAGACATGTGCTGGGGTCCCACCCCCTGTGGTTTCACTGTGGACTTGAACCCTGCTGTTAGTATCCTCTGAGCTGTGAGAAGCCACGTTTAGTCTGTGTGATAATATAAAGAACAACCAACAAATTGATTGGGTGTGGGTAAACCCCTCCCCCAAACACACTCATGGGTTCTAGTCTATTCCCTGGGAGCAGAATCGGATTGTAGCTTTGGGCAATGGTAAGTTTGTTGCTTCCACCCCACACCTAACCTAGAAGAGACCCACAGAAACCCAGGAGGCTCTGCCAAGAGCACGTTCTTTATGAGACAGATGTTTGTCTCTGCAGCTCTGAGATACTAGACAGATATTGATAAGTGTGCATGCTGGACCAGGTTGCACGTACACACACACACCATCCTCAGAGGGGCCTGAAGACAGGAACAGCTATCTAAGGGTTCTTTTCAAAGACTGGCCAATTTGGGGTTGGCTGAGAGCTGAGCTCTTCTGGTGGGATTTGCTCTGAGAATCCTCCTATGCCCGTCAGCTAGAAGACTGGGTGAGGTGTAGGGTATAGGGCAGTGATGGCGAACCTATGACACGCGTGTCAGAGGTGACACGCGAACTCATTTTTTTGGTTGATTTTTCTTTGTTAAATGGCATTTAAATATATAAAATAAATATCAAAAATATAAGTCTTTGTTTTACTATGGTTGCAGATATCAAAAAATGTCTATATGTGACACGGCACCAGAGTTAAGTTAGGGTTTTTCAAAATGCTGACACGCCGAGCTCAAAAGGTTCACCATCACTGGTCTAGGGGCTCGGGGCCCACGTCCAGAGTCTGCAGAGCCCTCGGAATAGCACATCTGCTTCCAGTTAACACTGTTTAAAGGGACTTTCCAGGTTTATGGAATGAAAGCCACCCATCAGGAACTTTTGAGCACCACTGATAAGCATTTTTTGTGAGTTTTTTATAGTTCTCCAAACAGCCTCTATTGTTGCCAGAGATCCTTTAAAATCTCTTCTACCTCTCCTTTCTTTATACACAGACGCTATAAAAAGGCTATGTAGATAACCACGGGCTGCCAAAGTCCCACGTGGTCCAAATGATTTCTCCAATAAGTCCTCTCGTGAAAATCTGGGGGAGTCCAGCAGTTAGCTCTGGCTTCTCTTGAAATTATTAGAATGAATTGCTTTGTGGGCAGGGAGGTGGGAGGGACATCAGAAATGATGGTTTCTCAAGCTTGTTAAATTGATGGATAATAAAAACGAGCAGCAGTTCAGAGCATTTAAACCTAGTTTAAAATAAAAAGAATAAATAAGCATTTAGTTAGCCCTCATTTTTTTTTTCATATTGAAATTGGTACTTCCATATCCTAAAGGATAAGATCAATAATTTTAGTTCAGTTGCTTTTATCTCTGCTCTGAAATATACTTATTTATTTTAACAGGCTTATTCAAGGGGCCTTGACTGATTCTGAGAACCCTGTATCAAAAGGAACCCATCAAAATGATCAGCTGGATACAGAAGCTGGGGCCCCACACTGTGGGGTGAACCCGCAGCTAGCTCAGGGTAAGGAAGGAGAAGAACAACCGATGCTTAAATTATTGTACGACAGCCCCGCTTGTCATTCAGACAGATATGATTTCTATTGGCTACCGGCTTCTCTTCTAGCTTATGCTCTATAGCACCGTGAATAAACTCCCACCGCCAAGTGCCAGAGTCTCCGCGGACTCACCTTGAGCCCTCAGCAGGCATTAGCATTTAAAGAAAGGTGGCTTGCTAAGCAAAGGTGATGTTACTGAGCACTAAGCTTATGTTCTTGATTGGTCTCAGGTCCATCCCAGAATCAGCAGGTATCAAACCCGCCAGTGAACACTTTAGAAGATGTGAAGCCAAAAACCCTCCCATTGGATAACAGCATTAACCATCAGATGGAGTCACCGAGTGAAAGGCGGAAGTGAGTAACCAAAGATAGATGTGGAATTCCTTTTTTTTTAAATGTATTGACTAAGAAAGGGAAAATGAAAAAGCGTGTGATAGCAAGGTGTTAGCAGCATTTTCGTGCTTTCTCGCTCTTGGATCTCATTGATTCACGTTAAACAAACGTTTATGGAAATTTAGGACAGTCTCCCAGACAAGTAATACACTCTGAGTTTATCAATTTGAAAGAGGCAAAGTAATGCTTTTAACGCACAAATCTAAACATTGAAAAGAATTTGCAGGCATGTTATATTAACAGTTTCTTTAAGTGAGTTAAAATGTCTCAAAATCTATTGACAAATATTCATTATCATTCTCTCCGTTTTAGGAAGCTACCTTAGGCTATATTTTAATTTTGTAAGATTTCTATTTTTTTACAATAGTTTCTAATATTTTTGATACATTTCAATATAACAGGCACTGTGTTGAAGGGTTTACATAGCTTTTCGCATCTTTTCATCAATTAACTCACTGAGCTCCCCCAATAACTTCAATTGAGTTATTATTCCCATTTTTCAGAGGAGGAAATAGAGGCTCAAGGAAATTAAATAACTTATTCAAAGTACTTGATGGTTAAGTGGTAGAAGAATTCAAAATGATACCACAGTTCAATGGTAAGATCATATGTAAACCAGAGGTTCTTTGTAACCAGCTTTTAAAATACAACATTCATTATACTTTAGCAAGTCCTCTACCTGGAGCTAGACCACCTGGATTCAGATTTTGATTCTGCCACTTGCCTGTGTAGGGCTTTGAGCAAGTTGATTAATCTTTCTCTGCTTCAGTTTCTTCATGTATAAAATGGCAATAATAATACTACCTACCTGTGAAGTTTTGTACCTGACGAATAATAAGTACTATGTAGTATAGCTGGTGGTAGACAATGAGGGTGGTGATGAGGATGAGGATGACTTGTTTTATAAGTTCAACTTGCAACCTTATTTTTCTGTTACATTTTAAAAATGGTATTTGAGTCATTTCCCCCTTTTCTCTTATGTCTACCCAATTTTGTTTCTATGTGCCTCGATGACACTTGGAATAAATAGAAACCGAAATCACACAGAAGTAATCATGATTGTTATTGATTATTGCAGTGATTTCCAACCATGTTTTAGGCCCTGGCACTTATCATCTAGGGCCGCGGTTCTCAACCTGTGGGTTGCGACCCCTTTGGCGGTCGAATGACCCTTTCACATTACAATTTACATTACGATTCATAACAGTAGCAACATTACAGTTATGAAGTAGCAATGAAAATAATTTTATGGTTGGGTCACAACATGAGGAACTGTATTTAAAGGGCCAGAAGGTTGAGAACCACTGCTCTAGGGTATTACCTGAAAACATGACATTTTGTTTTCTTGGTTTTTTGGGTTTTTTTGTTGTTGTTTTTTTAAATATATTTTTATTGATTTCAGAGAGGAAGGGAGAGGGAGACAGAGAGAAAAACATCCATGATGAGAGAGAATCATGGATCGGCTGCCTCTTGCACGCCCCACACTGGGGATCGAGCCCACAAGCCGGACATGTGCCCTAACCGGGAATTGAACCCGGGACCCTTTGGTCCACAAGCCGACGCTCTAGCCACTGAGCCACACCGACCAGGGCAAAACATGATATTTTGGAGGAGGAGGTGTGGGTGGGCAGGGGGCTCGGGGAGTTATTCCAAAACTAGTTAGAAGACAGGTGGACTTGTGCTCTGTTCACTCCTGTGTTGGCATTTCTCTTATCCTCATTTTTTTTTCTGTGTTCTGCCCCTTTCTGTACAAATGAAATGAACTTTTATAAGCAAGAGCCCAGAACTGACAGCTAATAACAGGCAGGGTGTGCAACCAACCACGCCTGTGAAACTGTTCTGGTAGCGTCTGGTCGGGGACCATTGTGCTTTGTAGATGCCAATGCCATAGCCGTTATTAAATGTTGTGAACACCACCCCTCATCACATGTCCTCAAAATGAATGTACTGATAGGGGGTGGAAGCTACCCGACTGGAAAATACCTCCTTGAAGTTCTGCCCTTCCTTTCTGGGCTCTCTGCACACGCTTTTTCCTAAATTCCTACTCACCTTGCCCCTCTCTCCCCACATCTTTGATTTTTATATCTAACTCAGCATGCAATTTTAACTATTGAAAAATTATTCTGGCTTTTCTATTCAACAGCGCCAGCCTGGTCTGATATCATGCAACCATTGCATGTATAATCTTTGCCAGACGGATTTACTATTTTTGTTCTTTAGAAATAATTACCTCTAGGACACTCTGTGGTCTTTTCTTTGGTTATCAGGGAAGTATTTTATTTCCGTGCCTAAAATGTCTTCTCTTATAGGGTTGGGCTTCTCTTTCCTTGTCATAATTGTTGGCTCCTTTACCATGTTACAGGAAAAGCCCTCGAGAGCACTTCCAGGCGGGACACTTGTCCCCCTGTCCTCCCACCCCTCCTGGCCAGTCACCAAACCGGTACAAGAGGTCAGCAAGCCTTTCGGAGGCGGCTTTGTTTTGACTAGAGCCTGCCAAGCATAATTCGAACCGAATTAATGCTTGCCAAATGATTTTGAGAAGTTTGCCCATCAAATCGCTTTCAACACACACACACAGGCAGGAGGAGAGAGAAAGCCAAGTGCATGACGTTGGCGCGGCTGTGGCCACAGGCCTTTAATTATATTCTGTGGAAATTGCAATCTAATAATAAAATCCACCAGACAGTTGCCGGGCTCCTCAGTCGGCGCCTTCCCCTCCAAGACGGCTCGGTCCTTCTAGGCTGATGGCTCTTACAGAGAACCAGGCGGGGCGAGCAGCGAAACTGCATCCTTCCTTCCCCTACTCAGGCTCTCTAAGGATGGCTGCCGGTCGTTAATTGGGCCCCATGATGTTCTTAAAAGCTGCCGAGTTCCCATTCACTGGAGAGACCAATTACTGAGGACTACTCCAAGGTTTCTTTGATTTAGACATTTCATTTAACTACTGGGTAGAGGGAAATCCTAATAAATAGGGTTTGCTCAGGGCAACTCTTCCTCTTCTCTGTTTTCTTCCTTTCTGTTTCTGCTGTCCCTCTGTACTCTGTTGGCTTCTGAATGGTATTGCACATTTTCAAACTTCTTGTGCAATTCCAAGCGCTTTCCAGATGATAGGCACCGGTGCCATCTGATCTTAGCTGTGGGTAAGCCGCCCCAGGAGACAGCCAGCTTATCCCTCTCCTGGTGTTGGTCTGCTGGGTTGGATTCTTGTCCACTGGCGGGCCCTCTGCTGGGGGCTGGGGGGTACAGAGATGGGGTCCAGGCAGCCCATGCCCTCAAGGGGCTTACAACTCCCGAGTGCCCAGGTTATAGTCGCAGAGCTTACACTGGAAGGAGCAGTAGAGATCAGTCCAACCCTCTCATGTTGAAGTTGAAAGAGAAACCCAAAGGGAGTTCTTTGCACCAGATCCCAGAACCTCGGGGCAAGGCAGAGATCTGATCCCATATTGGCCTGTGGCCTGTGGGGCTGTATCACAATTGCCTCTCCCTTTTTATACAAAAAAGATTTCTTTGCTTAATAGGTAAAAGAAATGCCCTTGTGGGCCAACGAATCAATTATAGAAAATTTTAAAGCAACATTGAAATCTTACTAAAGCTAAATTTCTTTTAGGGCTTATAAACATGATGAATACATGGAATCATTTCAAGGCATTTGATCATTGCGGTTGAATAAACAACACCCACTTCTTGTAACAATTAACTAAAATACACTTACACATGCATATATACATGCATGCCAGGTTCTCTACCACAATGGAGGCCCATTGTATTTAATCTAGCACTTGTTTGCCAATTACATCTAATGCTTCATTTCTGCTCATTATCAGTTTAGTAATTGTCATTTCACTCATGAATGTTTTCTTTCTTTTTTTTTTTTTTTTTTTTGCATGAGGCCACATGTTTGTGTATGTAACCAACTCTTCTAAATGGGAGGTTTGATTATTATACGTGGTTTTGACCTAGGTCTATAAGTGGGAAGAAGCTGTGCTCGTCCTGTGGGCTTCCTTTGGGGAAAGGAGCTGCGATGATCATTGAGACCCTCAATCTCTATTTTCACATCCAGTGCTTCAGGGTATGTATTCGTCACGCTCCTCTCTGAGTACAATGTCGTGGTGTCCTTGGGCGTCGCTCTGGGCTGAGACAGACCTCCTGGGAACCTTGATGGCCTTTGCTCGTGAGGCCCGCCCTTCTGTGTGTACAGAGTGTGTGTGGAGTCCAGCCTTCGGGAGGAAGCTCTCAGCTATCATGCGTTCCTCTGGGGAGTCAGCTTAGAAGTAGCAAAACAGGTTTGTGCAATGTGTCTTTGTGAAACAGGTTTTGTTGCTGAAGAGCATCTATTCTGGCAGGAAGCTGAGAATGCTACCCTGGGAGGCCAGTGATACTTCTGCATCTTTTAGGGCATGTGAATTTATTGGGAAGGTGATATCTTTGCAGCTTCTCAAACTCTGGTGACTTGATGTTGAAGATTCCCTGCCTGTTCAGTGCGGTTAGAGCTCGTGGCAAAGTTGAATGTGTCTGTGATCCCAAACTGAAGAGCACTTCCTCTGAGAAGCTGCCCTGCTCCCCCAGACTAAGTCTCTCGCCTTTGTTCCAGGGCCTTACAGAACCTTTCATGGTCCGTACCACTCACTGTTGCATTGTTTAACTATCATGTCCTTTAACAAACGATCAACTCCATGAAAGCAGGAGCCATGTCTGCCTGGCTCACCACTATTTCCTCTGCACCTAGCAGACATGGTGTCTGTAAACATTTTTAGATAAATGAATTAATATGTATACTGAAAATGAGGAGGCTTGGATTCTAATTCCAAATTTCCTGCTAAGTAAGTGATTTAACCAGTTATAACTGATTTATTATAATATGAAATTTATAAGTTGGCCTCTTTCAGTATTTCCCATCTTTTTTTTCTTTTTCTTTTTTTTCTCATAGACATCTTTCAAATTAATATATAATTTTTGAAACTAAACCTTCTTCCTCTGAAAGTCATTTCTTTCTCTTTATAATCCTGATGTGCTTTCTTTGTCCTTCTTGAATTTTGTTCTATGTCTTGTTGGTAGATTCCTCAGCTATGAAGTGCACTTGCATGGGGTTAAAATAACTCCCACTTTACTGATAAGCTAAGGGAAAGTAAGTGAAGTTGTCCCGAAGTTTAATAGCATCAATACTCACTGTGAAGCAAAGCTTATCTTGGACAAAACACAATATGGAGACTTAATGAGACTCAATTTATCAATATTCTCATTGAAAAATTAACCAAGATAATGCACATCTTAAATGGTCTAAGAATATTTTGAGGTTCAAGGCATTTACATTTTAAAATCTCATGGTAATGCCAAGATAATATGTTCCAACACCAGAGTTTTTTCTCTGAAACTTTACCAGAACTCAAAATAATAGAGGTGGCAAAGAGTCTTTGCAAATTCTCAAGAGGCAGAAGATTCCCTTTCTAAGCTGTCAAGGCCATTATTTTCTCTCGTCTTTCACTTCCTGGTCTGACCTGATGCTTTAAGATACATACCTGTGCAATGTAGATGCAACTTGTAACATCATTTGGATGAAGCCTCCCTCTGTCCCCAGTGACCTTAAAACATGAGTCTGAGGCTGGCCCTCTACTCCTGAGCTCAGTCCTGCTCTCCTGGCGAGAGGCTGGCATCAGAACCAACCGCTACTTTAAGACCATTATAAACTGATGAACAAATAGATACAGAGGCAGAGCAACATCGAACAGACTGTCAAACTACAGCGGGAAGGCCGGGGAGGGTTGGGGGTGTGGGTAAGAGATCAACCGAAGGACTTGTATGCATGCATAGAAGCATAACCAATGGACACAAGACACTGGGGGGTATGGGAGGCTAGGGGAAGGTCAAGGGGAGAAAAAAAACAAGGAGACATATATAATACTCTTTGTAATACTTTAAGCAATAAAACAATTAAAAAAAAAAAAGAACCAACCCCTACTGCCACTCCTCTGGCGCACCCAGCACAGTCTATCCCACAGTTTCTGTCTGCACTCAAGCTGACTTAGCTGAAAGGAGTGCCGTTCTCAGTGGATTTGTGACTCTGGGTGTCACTGCCTTTAATGTGGAAAGATAAGGTGAATAGCTATTTCCTAGGAATTCTGATCTGGCAGAACTTACCAACTCTGCTGGGAAGCGTTTAGTGATTATTCACAGACAAGTTTTCATTCATAACCTGCTGCCCATGTGTTTCTTTAAAACCACTAGAATTTAATCTGTTTAAAATGGTTCATAGGTCAAATATATGGTGACGGAAGATTTGACTTTGGGTGGTAAACACACAATGCAATATAAAGAGAATGTCTTATAGAATTTTACGCTTGAAACCTATATAAATTTATTAACCAATGTCACCCCAATAAATTTAATTTAAAAAAATAATAAAATGGTTCTTCCATCTTGATTGAGGAAAGGCATGTGATAGAGGTTAACAACATAGGCTTTGGGATTAACCCAACACCACTTACCGGGTTTATAACCTTGGACAAATCGGCTAACTTCTCTGAACCATCGTCCTTCTCTGGAAAATGCAAGGAGTTACCATAAAATGCTAAAAGTATGTTGTTGCTGTCAGTCGGTTCTTAGTGCAGCATCTAACACATAGCAGATGCTCAAAAAATATGGAGGTTGTAGAAGTGATTATTGTGCTATTCATGTAAAGAATAACTAAGCATCATAAAGAGATTCCTTATGCATCTTATAACCTCTGTTCTTTCTCCCCCATAGTGTGGAATTTGCAAAGGACAGCTTGGAGATGCAATGAGTGGGACGGATGTGAGGATTCGAAATGGTCTTCTAAACTGTAATGATTGCTACATGAGATCCAGAAGTAAGTACTGGGGTGAAATACCTTGAGATAAGTGAGTGCAATAGTATGCCTTTCTAGGGCCCATTTGAGGAATTCAATGATTTCTGCCTATCAGTTAACACTCCTACCCTGAGGGAAAGATTTATTAACATCTAGGTAAAGGAAGCAATAATGAAGTAACCCCTTAATTACCACTTGTTTTTTATTAGAAGTTACTGCTTGGGTGTGGCCAAATTCTTTTCATCATGAAGTGCATTAATACACCAGCAGATAAAAACTGTGGGCCAAGTTTGAGGCATTGCCTGAGCTCACCACAGAGACTTGGGTGAGATAGAAGGCAGATATAAGGTCTGTAAAGCACTCTTTGCTGGCCGAGGCATATCTTTAGGAGACCAGCACCATTGTGGGGAGGGGTTGAAGTGTGAAGAATGGCTCTCCAGTGTTCATCAAATCAAGCACCAGCGCCTCAGTAGCTTCATGTCCTACATTCAAGAGTTTCATGACACAATATGTTGTTGGTCCCAACTAAATTTAAAGTCCCAAGAGGCCAAATGATGGGTTCTTCCCTTTGTGAATCTCTGCCCTCGGCCAAGATACCTGAGCACATAATCAGAGCTGATTATGAACAAGTATGTGCTGTCTTGAAGCTCCCTTGAGCAGCCTGCCCTCGGACCTTGTATCTGGGTTTCCTACCATAGAAGGTTCATGTCAGTTTGTGGGGCACCAGGGGGTGCTGTTGCCCAGCTGCTGTTTAGAAAATCTGAAAATAGCCAGTGGCTAAACCTCTGAATCCAGCCTCTCTCTCCATCAGAAATATAGCCCTTCTGGTGCATGGCCTAGACAACAAGCGACTCTTCTATGAAAATTCATTGGTCAGAAACTCTTTCTTTAAGAAAAAAAAGGTGGGGGAATGAAGAGATGGTGTTTGAAATACAAGAATGTTTTGTTATTTCTCCAAGTAAAGGAAGTGACATTTTTATAGCTTTTTTAAATAGCTAATTTAGGGTCTCTAAATCTACAAGACTAAATACTTTAAGAGTAAAAATTGAAATTAAATTCTTTTATAGCTGTAGGTTAAGTATAATCTGAGAAATTTATACATTTTTAATAAAATTATGTGAAATAAAAATTTAATCAAATCCAAGTGATTTTGATCTATCATAAACATTTGACTTCAGAACAGTTCCAACTTAGAGATGAGGTGGTACCATCAAACTAGACTATTTATATTACATATTATATTTTTATATTATATACATTTATATCTTAATATATTTATACCAGGTATTATATATCATTTACACATGTAACATCTATGTTATATATTATATATGTTTATACCATGTATATAGAGCATATATAAACATATGCTATAAATATATATTTATACCAATATAATATATATACACATGGTATAAACATATAATATTAATATTGATACTATGTATCAAACATAAAATCTGGTATAAATAGTATTATATATATATATACATATTCCATGCATACACAAATACCTATATACATGTGTAATATATAATATATTTTTAACTGAATTTTTTTGTCTTTATATATTATAAATGAAAACTAAACCCTTTATTCCCATTTTCAAGGTGATTTTTTCTATCATCTATAAATTATACTTTTTCTCAGCCAGCTGAGTGTGATCCATGGAACCAGAAGAGGGCACTGTTAGGTTGCAGGACTGTTGGGCCAGATTTGGAAAGCGCCATAAATCTGAACTTCCATAATTTAAAGTGCTTGAAGGATGCCAGCAGAAAGCAAACATGAACCCACCTCTGGGTGACAGTAACCTGTTTTCATCCAGATTTTTATTTTAATTGAGAAGTTGGATGATTCATTGTCATTTCTTTTGGAAATTAGCTTTTTGGATCTAGGCCAGGAATTTTTTTCCTATGTATACAACAATAAGGGGCATTAACTGTTTTTAATTCCAAATCTAAAGACAAGAACTGTGGAGTTTCAGTAACAGTCTCAGAAGATGAAAAATAAGAAAATGATTTCGAGGTAGACTAAAGATAGGATTTTTTTTCTTTGGTTATTTTAATGCAACATTTTACTATGATTTTTTTTTTTAGAATGCTAAGATACTAAGAAGAAATAAAAAGTCTTACTATCTCCCTAGACATTCAAAAATAAATAAGTAAAAGTTATAAGTGGTATAAGGTTAGAAAATTGAATGTTCTGAAAGATACCAAATTAAAAATAAATTTTAAAAAATCCAAAGTTAACCACTGTGATCACTTTCTAATAATTGCTTGGGGAGAGGGGCAGAACATATGTTTGTATAGGTGTACACACAGACACACCAGATGCATATGTGCTGGTTTCTATTTCACAAAGGTAATTACATAATCAGTGTTC